TACAACGCATATTTTCCTGGATTTGTGATATCACAAATATCGACGAATGGGACTAGACCTGGTTGAGCTTCACTAGAGAAGGCAACAAGTGTTATTACTATGTTGGAGACATGCTAGCTTTCCAAAGGCAGACGAACTTAGAGTGGTTACAATCATTAAATCGCGGGTTTAAATCGCGCTCAAATTGATTTGATATTGACGCAATACTTACACTGAAGCTTGCAGGCGGCTATGGTAAGGGGCATGTCATTTCCCGACCAGGCGCCGAGTGGTGCCAATCACAACACACACTGGCCCAGCTAACCAATCACAACACATTTCGTATTTCAGAAGGCGGGCCTTCATTTGATACAGGAACTATTCGAGTCGTTCATGCCAGACTGGGGAGAGAGGTGTTGTAATAATGTAAAATATGTGAAAAATAATGTGTTTTTCGAACAACCTAGTATGAGAGCCTGTTCAAGTACACCCCCAAAACAAAATCAAGATAATAATAGGACCCCTTTAAACTCATCTGCCTCTTTATTAATTTCTGAAGTGAACCTTTGCCTGTTTGACAATATATTGTTTTGGACTGCCACTTGAATTGAACGTGACATGTCTGGTGTGTGTTACACCTGTAAGTTGTCCTAGATGCGACACAATGCTGCACTTTTTGTCCGGTGTTATTGGTGGAAATATTTTGTTATTTTGATTAGATAATCATGAAGTGTTCTAAAATTTAAGCAAACAAAGTGTGAGAGTATACAATATACATATTGCATGTAATTTCTTAAATGTAATACTTAAATATCATGCTTAAATATCTTTTACGTTTGAATTTATATGAAATGGTAGCACTTTACAATAAGATTCCATATATGTTTAAATTTTAAAGCTTCATTTGTTAAAATTAATGAACTATGAACTAACATTACATTTACATTTAGTCATTTAGCAGACGCTTTTATCCAAAGCGACTTGGAAATGAGAACAATGGAAGCACTCATTAATGATCAATGTATAATTAATATTTAATATGAATATTTTTATTCCATATGAAAAGTATGGTTCTGTACTTTGTGTGTATGTAATAAAGTTCAGTACTATTTTAGTTTTCATATACAGTATCCATCATAAAAACTAGCAATTAATCAGTTATCTGCCACTGTGGCCCAACCAAGCTATCAGTATCGGTAAAATCCAGTTTTTAATGTCTGATTTATCCTTTCTGTAAGACTTGTTTGAGGGTGGTAACTACGCTTTTGAATTGTTCCTCACAGGGCCACTGCTGGCCAAATGGGTGCCTTAAGCAGAATTGTATTGTTGTGCCCCCTCCGTCAAATATTATAGAAGTAAAAAAAAAAAAAAAAACTACTATAGGGCACAAAATAAAACTTTAAAAAAATATAAATGTAAATAAATAAATTGTAATTAAATTATATTATTTACAAATTACAATTGTAGCTCTATTATATATATATACAAAATTCTGGCATGAAACTCTAGATGGCACAGTCCGATAGGTCTAACTCAATCTGACATAATGACATCATCACATGGTACAGCTGATGGTTCTCTCATGTATCGGTAGCCAAAGAGCGAATCTGTGTTCATACAGCTGGAGCAAAATGCAGTCTAGAGCATGTAATCACTATGCGCTGATAGTAACAGACATGAAACAGGTTAAATTGAATAATTGTATTATTACACACCGAGTGTGCGGTCGATTCCAGCTGCACGCAGTATCAGAAGCACGCGCTTATTGCAGTCATATCAATGACAGTGTTGCGGGAGAAGGGAAATAAGAGTTATAGCTTAAGATCTCCATCTACGGTTGTCGTAGTCCTGAGTGAAATGCATTATGGGTAGTGTAGAAATGTGTTCGTGTGACGTGTGCTCTCGCTGTGCTGTGTAGTTCAGAAACGGAGGAAGAACGTTTATATTCTGCTTTTATTTCAGTTCATTTAAGTCAGTCCACCCAGGGGGTTTCAAGCACTGTAACCCTGACACTTATCTACACGAGAGAGTAAAATAGCATGCATCGGCTAACTTTGTATGTCTCATCATTGCACGAACATGAATTAACAAGCTGTTACGCTGCCACTGGGACTATGAAGTGGAGAAAGTAACAACAGTTATCAAATGACTTACAGTAAATTATGATATTTGCTCAGGTGGGTGCTGGGGTCTTATCTATCGATAGGCCACTAGCGTTAAGCTGGTCGGTGTGGTAGCCCAGGCACACATAGCCATAGGCCGCTAGCGTTAAGCTGGTCGGTGTGGTAGCCCAGGCACACATAGACATAGGCCACTAGCATGAAGCCGGTCGGCGTAGTAGCCCAGGCACACATAGATAGTAATACATGCAGTTCACATGGCTCTTCGGAGCAGCAGCAGTACATATGTCTTGGCAATAGATCTGCTGTTGGGGCGTTTTGTGTCTTGATTTTGGCTTGTATTGTCCATTCTATGTCTCCTGCTTTGTGGGTGGTTATTTCATATATGTTATATGTGCAGCAGCAGTATTTCTTACATGCTCACAGCAGCATGTTGTGGATGTATTGGCTGTAGCAAGTCTCGGTACTTGCTCTGCCGCAGCAGCGTAGCAGATCTATACCGCCAATACCAAATGCATTAACATTGTCATGTACATTACCATGCCAATCATTCCGAGAGTTGTCATGACAGAAATACAAAGTTCTGGCATGAAACTTTAGATGGCGCAGTCAGATACAGTGGGTACGGAAAGTATTCAGACCCCCTTAAATTTTTCACTCTTTGTTATATTGCAGCCATTTGCTAAAATCATTTAAGTTAATTATTTTTCCTCATTAATGTACACACAGCACCCCATATTGACAGAAAAACACAGAATTGTTGACATTTTTGCAAATTTATTAAAAAAGAAAAACTGAAAAATGCTCAGTATTTAGTAGAAGCACCCATTTGATCTAATACAGCCATGAGTCTTTTTGGAAAAGATGCAACAAGTTTTTCACACCTGGATTTGGCGATCCTCTGCCATTCCTCCTTGCAGATCCTCTCCAGTTCTGTCAGGTTGGACGGTAAACGTTGGTGGACAGCCATTTTTAGGTCTCTCCAGAGATGCTCAATTGGGTTTAAGTCAGGGATCTGGCTGGGCCATTCAAGAACAGTCACAGAGTCGTTGTGAAGCCACTCCTTCGTTATTTTAGCTGTGTGCTTAGGGTCATTGTCTTGTTGGAAGGTAAACCTTAGTTCCAGTCTGAGGTCCTGAGCACTCTGGAGAAGGTTTTCGCCCAGGATATCCCTGTACTTGGCCGCATTCATCTTTCCCTCGATTGCAACCAGTCGTCCTGTCCCTGCAGCTGAAAAACACCCCCACAGCATGATGCTGCCACCACCATGCTTCACTGTTGGGACTGTATTGGACAGGTGCCTGGTTTTCTCCACACATACCACTTAGAATTAAGGCCAAAAAGTTCTATCTTGGTCTCATCAGACCAGAGAATCTTATTTCTCACCATCTTGGAGTCCTTCAGCTGTGTTTTTCTGTCAATATGGGGTGCTGTGTGTACATTAATGAGGAAAAAAAATTAACTTAAATGATTTTAGCAAATGGCTGCAATATAACAAAGAGTGAAAAATTTAAGGGGGTCTGAATACTTTCCGTACCCACTGTAGGTCAAACTCAATCTGACATAATGACATCATTGTTACACAGCACAGTTGATTGGTTCTCTCCTGTATCGGTAGCCAATGAGCTCGCTGCTCAACATTCAAATATATGACTAGTGCTTGCTGTAGCAGTTGCAGCGCACTTCAGAAACCCTCCACCTTCCCCAGCTCCACCTGTATTGATCTGCTACAGGTTGTTTTATATGCTATTTGTGCAGCAGCAGTATGTCTTAAATACTCACGGCACCGTATAGCCATATGCATTGGCAGTAGCAAGTTCCTGTACTTGCTTGCAGCATGTGGATGTATTGGCAGTAACAAGTCTCGGTACTTGCTCTGCTGCATCAGCGTAGCAGATCTATTCCGCCAAGACCAAATACATTAACATTGTCATGTACATTACCATGCCAATCACTCTGAGAGTTGTCATGACAGAAATAAAATATGCACAGTACAAACACATATTTTGTAAACAAAACTTTTATTTTGGATGCGATTAATTGTGAATAATAATTTGACAGCACTACTACTAACATTTTATGTGGTTGCAAATTAATGAGAGTTAGATGACATGTGATTGCAAAGTTACTTATATTTAGTAGAATGTCTGAAGTAGACTATTGAAATACAGCGTTACTTTTTGTGAAAATTCTTTCATCATTTACTCACTTTCATGTCATTCTAAATCTGTATAGTTTTAGGAGGCATGTAGCTAAATGTCCAGCTATATTCTATGCTAGCATTCTACTCTATGGAAGTACATCACAAGGTGCCTTCCAGAATCTGTTGACAATAAAATAATTTTTGTCTCTTAAATTTTTTTCCCTCCAAAGACGAGGCAACACATGAGAAAAATAAATGTTTGCTAGTTTAAGTTACATGTGTTTGGTAAGGAAGGAAAAGATTAATGAAATTGCAAATGGAAATTAAAGGTATGGTTCATTGCGATTTCACTTTTTTAACGTTAGTTAGTGTGTAATGTTGCTGTTTGAGCATCTCTCTCTCTCTCTCTCTCATTCAGCTCAGCTCCAAAAATGAACTGTTACAATTATACACTTATTTTCACATAGCTATGAGAAGCGTTAAACATAGTACGTGCAGTTGGAAAGTATTAATGAAAATGAAACTTTCGGTGTGCCTCAATTAATGTCTTATTCAGTCCCAGTGTGAAGTGAGCCATGGTCCTTACCAGTGCCCAAACTACTGCAATATATTAATTCATGACTTAATAAAATTAATATGTGCTAATTGAGAAACTAGCATCTCTAAATTTACAATGTATTTCTGTTCTTTTATAGCGTTGAGTGTACATCTGTTAATCCCCACGTCTGAACATCTCCACATTTCCCCTCATTTGCATGTACTGTAGCATAATTTCACAAATCTACAGTCAGACCATTCTGCTTTTGCTTTAAATCTTTATATTATACAATCTAATTCAAATAAAAAATAACTGATCATGCTATATGTGCTTAGCATCTTTGTTTAGATTTTGATTAAAATGCAGTGGTTGCCTCTAATTTCAGGGATGCAACGAATACCGGTTTGACGATAAATCATGAAAAAATTCCCCACAGTTAGTATTACCGTTTCATCTTTTAATTATCATTAAAACCGTATTAGATTACCGTGATTTGAACAACTCGTGATAAATAAATACTGTCCAGCATAAAGCCCCATGTAATACCTAAAGGAAGTGTTCTTAATCTCAATACTGCTTTGTCCACGGAGGTTACGGGAAACAGCTCTAATTCATCTTTTCCATAAGCGCCACCTGCTGTCAGCGAGTGGATTTACAGAGATCTATATTTACATTCAGCCTGTGTGCAGTTCTGTCTGGCCAAAAACGGACCGAATTTGCATGCCCTGCTGTAAATTTTGACCGGTTGATGAAAAACAATCTTATGTGGATTCTACACATTTAAACAATTCAGATAAGTTATCTAGAATTATTTATGGAGCAGATAAAATACATATAATGATTTATTATTCAATTATCATTTTGACATATCTTTTCTAGGGATGCACTGAAATGAAAATTCTTGGCCGAAGTCGAACAAAATGAAACACTTGGCCGAAGGCCGAATACCGAATGCAGAACACGGTTTTTCACATTCCCCCCCCATGTAGGCCTATTTTGCCATTGTTTTTTTCACCATTGCATTAAGTAAATTGCCAAAATGTGCTTTTTACTGTTTTGTCCTGCTTTTCAAATAAAAAATCAATTACAAAACAACAATTTAAAAATATTTACATAACACTGAAATTTTTTTTTGCATTCTAGCAGACATTATACCAACAAAGCACAATTAATAAGTTTCTGATCAGAAAATACTTCTTTTAAAACATTAGAATATATTACAGAAGCCAATTTGAACACTATGTGTGAATGTTATAGGCCTAATAAATGGATTAATAGAGCTGTTGTAGGGTAATTATTATTATCATTATTATTGTCTTTTTTATTTTATTTTACAGAACGACAGTAAAATTACAATACTATCATTTATGAATGTCGATGGAGTTGTTGCTTTTTCTCGGCTTTTATTTAGGCAGAAACCCGCAGGAAGATCTCAGTGCTTCTTTTTGTTGACAACAGCATGCAGATTTATAAATGATTCTCATTACGAATTTGGGAAGATGTTTGTCGCACGTATCACATTGTCACATGCCTTTAAAAAATTCACAAAAATGTTACTGAGGAACTGACGAGTAACAAGTTCAGCGCAGATTTTCCTCGCGCTTTGGACTTTGAACCCTGGCGCCGCGAGCTCGTGCAGCGCTGTCACAATACATTCAATTCGTGCGTGCATTAGAAAATATAACATTCTGCAGTTGATTTACTAATCGTTTAAAGGTAATTTCGCGATTTCAATCATCATACAGTAACCTAACCACCAGCATTAGCCACCTCTTCTTCTCATCGGAGACGTGATGCAGCACTAAACAATCTCTCGCTCTCGTTCTCGTGCTTCGTGCATGTAATGATTTCTGCGTCTTTCTCTGATAGTTTTAAATACATTCACACTGCCGACATGTTTGCTGCATTAGTGCGTGCCTCTATTTGATCGCCTTAGTCATTGTTCGGTACATTATTATTCGGCCTTTTCGCTTATTCGGCCGAACACCGAAAGATATTTTTTTGCTATTTTCGGTCGAATAATTTCGGTTGCCGAATATTCGGTGCATCCCTAATCTTTTTTTCATTTAAAGGCTGAAATGTTATAGAGGCAATAAAGAACAAAAAAATGCCTAAACAAAGGGAGGAAGAAAATCAGCAACTGATCTCATAATCTCCTAATTTGCTTGTAAAAAAAATAAATAAAAAATAAATAATAATAATAGTGTAGAACTAATTTCTCATCTTACATTTTGTCTAAGCCTAACCCTAACTAAAGACAATAAAACGTATAACTCCTTCTATTTATAACGTACTGATACAAAATAAAAATGATTGGCAAAGTTCACTTCATATCACCACATCACATTATCAAGTTTCTATGAGGTAATATGTTGTGGCCTCAACATGCTATGATGGTCCCATAAGCTAAAATGCTGAGGCTATGACAAAACTAAGTAAGCTAGACTGCCTATTGAGAAACCATGCTCTATTTCATGTAAAACATTTAAAGATGTTTCTTACCAAGAACAGCTGCAGCAGCAACACCAACAGAAGCAGCAGGCATTTGAGGGAGAGTTAAACAAGCCAACTGTTTGGGTGTTCACACTTCCCAAGATGTGAGTGTTGGGGGGAGTATTCTGCACTTGGGTTGCATTTCCAGCATTCTGTGGTGGACATTTTCCCATCTCCAGTTCAGACGCCATTAGCTACAGACAGAACTTTCAGTTTACCAAAATGCTTCACACAAGTGAGAACATGATCTGTGCAAGAGTTACCAGGATCATTCCACGAAATTGGTGCCTTTCCACTTGGAAAAATAAATAAATAAATAAATAAATAAAGTAAGTTTAATCAACATTTTTTAAATATCCATGAAATGAAGACACCTTAAAATGGCAAGAATTTGTATTGTGCCATCTCAGGCTATCTAATTTATTATTTTATGACTATTTTTCTACCTTATGTTTTGGGATTTTTGTCAAACCCTGTTACTGACACAAGTTTTACTAGATACTAAAGTTTAATTAGAGCTAGGGCTGCACGATTAATCGCATGCGATATTTAATGCGCATCTTGCCAGTAAAGCTGGTTCTGTAATCAGCGGTAAATCTCCATCACGTGCGTGCTTTCACATGGAGCAGCATTTTTTGGAATTAAAAAATTATTTTTTTTATATTTGTCATTCAGATGACAAAGAACATCCTAATTTTGGTGGGTGACCACATGTCAATTAAGAAACATTTATTTTTACAAGAGAGATATTAAAAAAGGTCTTTGTCCAAAATAAAATATAAAGTTACAATGGAAAAACCTGGAAGGCTGTATCAATATATATATTTTTAACCATTTTTATGACATTAATGACAGTAACAGGATTGATGTCATAGTCACAGGACTGACCAGAGTAACAGGGATGACAGGACACACATTCTTCAGCACACTGCACATATTTGTTTACATAACTGTACAGATATATTAATCTGGTTCAATTATTAGGCAAGGAAGATGATCAGATCTTGGTCTTTCTGTGATCATCTGAAACCAGACCAAGATCTTGACTTTCTTGAACACTGCAAGACTGGGGTGAAGGTCTGCAGTCACCTTGCTGCTCTTGTTTGTAATTTAATTTACATGGATGCATTATTGACAATGAGTTATGGAAAAAAAGTTTTATTGAGACTGATCATCCTATCCGGTCTTTAACAACAATAGTAATAGTAACAATACCAATAACACTAACTAAAATGTAACTCATGCTCATATGCCACTGAATGATATACCGTAGGCATTAGCGCAATACAGCCAGGGTGACCTTTAAACATGTTTGCATTTTACACAGACGATCTTTAAAAACATGGTGACACCTAATCTATGGCATCCCTGTTACCCACATGTCAAAACCGGGCCACCCCCCTAATATAATGGCAGGGGAAACACTGTTATTGAGGAGTGAGAGAAATATGCTTATAGTTTAAATGTTGGAATCCTGGTTGAGAGATGATGTAACCTCCTAGAAATGATGTCACTTAAATGTACATTATTTTACATGGGTTTTCTGATGAGGGTAACAGAGCTGACATGAAATCAGGGGATACCAATAAAATGATTTATATTTTATAGAAAAAAATGCATACTTATGTCAAAAACATTGCTTAACAATGAGACTGTATATAAAACAATAAGCAAATGTGATTTTTGTATAATTTTCCCTTCATTTTGCAAATGAAAATTCCTGCTGAAAAAGAAAAATCACATTGAGGGACAGGCCAAAAACCTTACCCTTCCCAGCATAAATGCTATTTAAATTATTAAAAATAATATTTAATTTGCTTTTTTTTTAAAGTAATATTGATGAAAACATACATAGTATTATGTTTTTAAATTGCATATTTATTTGTTATCATATTAAATCTATATTAGATTATTTCTTAGGGACTCAAAAGGCTCCGATTTCGTGGAATGACCCAACAATATGACAAAAGTACACATTCACAGTTGTAGTGCTTAATTGTGCTTAATTAATTTAAGCAGCCCTCCAGGTAGGAAAGAGGCCTGCATGCCACGATACACAACAGACATGTAGCAAACATTTATATCCAATGAGACCAATTACAACAGAACACCTGAACTCACGTTAGCACACACACGTTAAAACATGCACATAAGAGATCACTGTGATGTTTATATTCATGCGTCTTTTTCTTCAAAACAATAATAATTTTCAAACAGCATAAATAAACTTTATATCTAGTAAATCAAAATTTAAACCACAAAGAAACTGTATGATATGAGTGTTTTCCTAAATTTGGACACAGCTGCATCAATTACCTTCATTGTACATAGGCTACTTTTCTTTCCCCCCTTTTTAATCATGCTATTTGTATAAGAAATGCTCGCGATATGCACGCCTCTGTAGCAGACTGCATACATCTCTTATCTATACCGATTTGCCTCAGAATACGCAATAATGCACACATGCATATAACTAAAACACAATAATGAAACCCACCTTTTCTCCATTGGTGTCCGGTAAAGACTAACTCCAGCCCTCGTTCACACACCCATCAACTGCAAGCTCTCGCTCAGCTTCACTATCCCGCACGCATGCGCGTCAATGTCTGCTTCAAATGCACTCTGACGTGCACATAGCCTACAATCGGATCCAACCTTACACGAACCGTTTAAATGGTCTTAATACAAGGGGCTTGGTCGACCAAAAATTTTTTTAGTCGCCTAGTCGTAGGGGGAAAAAAAAAATTCCACAGGCGAAGTCACGCAGCCCGTGACGGACAGATCATTAACGGCCGGTCTATGCCAGCCGGCATTTCAACGACGGGTACCATGGTTGAATCAACGATGGATTATGTTTCGATTTTGCAAATTGGATCAACGTTGATATTGTGACATTGTTTCACCGTTGAAATCACGACGTTGTTTCACCATTTTACATTCAGCATGGGTGAATTAAACTTGTTCTGTAGACGTTGGATTAACGTTGAATTAGGTGCCGAGTTTGCAGATTCGATCAACCTTGATTTTGTGATGTTGTTTCACCGTCGTATTTTCAACATGGGTGAATACACAACTGTAGCCTACATTCAATTAGAACCTAGTTTGCATTTAGATAAACACCGTACATTCATAAAGGTTAAAAATCAAATGACATGGCAGCAATGGCTTTACAATCAACTTCAATAAACATGCTCAAAATTGTAAAAAAACCAAACAAACAGTTATTTTGGAAACATACTGTATAATACAGATGAAAATAATCCCAAACTTTAGCTTGCAGTGTTTGTGCTTGGATGTATTGTTAAAAACCTGTAGAAGAACAATCCAAATTACAATATTTAAAGACTCAAAAAAAAAGTTTTTGTAAAATAACATGCATATTTTGCACTGCACTTGCAATAGAAACCCTTGTACTTTTTTGACTGAAACCAGTTGAGCTTTTATTTTGGTGGAAAACTTTCTGTGAAAACATGTTTTACTTATGTGTCTCATTACAAGATATTTGTACATTTGTGCAGTGAAAATGTTAAACAGTTTGAGAATGGAACCTGCAACAGAAACCGTGTTGGTGGTAAAGGGGTACAGGAGCATGTGACCACCTGTCTTGATTTTTGTCAACAGCCAGAGGTGGCACTAAATTTGACAGTGCCACCAAATTTTTTTCCCTGCACAAAATTCTTTATGCAGGAAAAACCCTGCCTTGAATGAAATGCATTTCATATTTTAAGTAGAAATGTTTCTTCAAATTCTGATAAAATGTTAGAACCAACATCCTTGTGCATATGGTTGTGCTTCAGCGTGGTTGTGCTTCAGGTGATCCTTGAAAGAGTCCCAGCTCTAGGTCCTTTCTGATGCCGTCCTCTCCCCTCTTTCTCTCACTTGTGCACTTTCTGTACTGTCCTCTATAAATAAAAACAAAAACACCAAAAATAAATACTCATAAAATATCAACTTTGATATTGTGAAATATCTTTAACTGAAAACTGAATGCAAAACAAATCACATTCAATATTTTCACTTTACAGTTCAATAACAGTGAGGGTGGAAACAAAGTGCACAACACTATTCATTAAACACTTATTTAATGTATTCAGATGAAAGTTTAAAATATTAACAAATTATTCACAAGCATTTTTTTCAAAACCAGTTACACTGTTTTAATCAGAATCCTAACTATACAGTGTATTTAGTAAAACAAGTCAAATCAAATTAAGTAAATTTCTATTAAACTAAGTAAAATCAAAACATATCACAAAAGCTCAATGAATCTCTACCAGAAGTGACAGTGCAATGTAGCAGATGAACAATTCCTTACCAGTTTGCCAATAATAAGCTGGATCCTTGATGACTACAAGGGGAAAGAAGAAATGGTTTACTCAAAAGTTCTTAAAAAGCAGGATTTTGTTTTATACCATTCCTTTAAACCAGTGGTTCTCAAACTTTTTATACCAAGTACCACTTCAGAAAATATTTGGCTCCTAAGTATCACCATAATGACCAACATTAAATTTCAGTAGTGTAGTAGGCCTAACTATTCAGCTACAGCTCTGCACAGTTCAAAAAACGAGGCAGTTTTAATCCTAATAAGAATATTTATTTTTGTCAGCCACTTTAACATTGTAAATACACAGTTTGAACATTAACACTGCACTGTGCTTACATACAGGTAAATAAAAAACTTAAATAATGATTAAATTAAAATGTGTTGTACCAAAAGTTATATAAAAACTGTACTGTACTTAAATGTAAAAAAATTTAAAAATAAAAACTTTACTCAAAGATTAAATTAAAATGTATTAAAGGGGTCATATGATGTTGCTAAAAATAATATTATTTTGTGTATTTGGTGTAATGAAATGTGTTTATGTGGTTTAAAGTAAAAAAAACACATTATTTTCCACATACTGTACATTATTGTTTCTCCTCTATGCCCCGCCTTTCTGAAACGCTAGATTTTTACAAAGCTCATCGGTCTGAAAAGCGAGGTGTGCTCTGATTGGCCAGCTATCCAGTGCGTTGTGATTGGCCGAATACCTCAAGCGTGTGACGGAAATGTTACGCCCCTTACCATATTGTGATGCCTTGTCCCGGCCGGAGCGACAAGACAAAATCATTTAAACCCATTATAAACGTCAAGACATTTGTTGCATCCAGTGGGGATATAATTATGGATTATGACGTATACTGTCTTTTTACCGTTGCGTTGCATCGCGCCGCGTAAACATAAAACCATGTCTGCATTTGTGATCGGAGAAATGACAAACAACAAGCACTACTCTAC